GGTGATGGTGGTGATGATGATGGGGATGATGGTGGTGATGATGGTGATGATGGTGATGGTGGTGATGGTGGTGGTGATGGTAGGTGGTGGTGATGGTGATGGTGGTGATGGTGGGAGGATGGTGGTGATGTTGATAACGATGATGGTGGTGATGATGGTTATGGTGATGATGATGATGATGATGATGGTGGTGTGGGTGATAGTGGCGATGACAAATGTAATAACAACAACAAAAACGACGGTAACAAAACTACAATAATAGAAATAGTAGCAACCTAGCCACCCCACCCACCCACCCACCCCACCCCACCACCCCACCCCACCTCCACCCCACCCACCTCCACCCCACCTCACCCCACCCCACCCACCCACCTCACCCCACCACCCCACCCACCATCCCACCCCACCACCTCCACCACCCCACCTCACCCCACCCACCCCACCCCACCCCACTGTTACCATGGCGACGATCTTCACTGAGGTAACGAACTAAAGCCCCTATGGACCCCGTAGTTAGTGTCTTATGTAACGCTTTCCGGGTTATGGCGCTGATCTATGGCTCACATATATGTCTTTTATGGCTCATCTTCTTTGGGGAATCTGAATGTCTTCTTTGTATGGCTGGGGAATGTTTTAAGGGGTGTTTGGGGAGGGTTGTTTAAGGGTGTTTGGGAGTGTTGTTTTAAGGGGTGTTTGGGGAGGGTTGTTTTAAGGGTGTTTGGGGAGTGTTGTTTTAAGGGGGTGTTTGGGGGTTGTTTTAAGGGGTGTCTGGGAGGGTTGTTTTAAGGGGTGTTTGGGGGTTGTTTAAGGGGTGTTTGGGAGTGTTGTTTTAAGGGGTGTCTGGGGAGGTTGTTTTAAGGGGTGTTTGGGGGTTGTTTTAAGGGGTGTTTGGGGAGTTGTTTTAAGGGGGTGTTGGGGGTTTATAGTTGTTTTAAGGGGTGTTTGGGGGTTGTTTTAGGGGTGTTTGGGGAGGGTTGTTTTAAGGGGTGTTTGGGGGTTTTAGGGGTGTTTGGGGGAGGTTGTTTTAGGGGGTGTCTGGGGAGGGTTGTTTTAAGGGGTGTTTGGGGTTGTTTTAAGGGGTGTTTGGGGAGTGTTGTTTAAGGGGTGTTTGGGGGTTTATAGTTGTTTTAAGGGTGTTTGGGGTTGTTTTAAGGGGTGTTTGGGGAGGGTTGTTTGGGTGTTTTGGGGGTTTATAGTTGTTTTAAGGGTGTTTGGGGGTTGTTTTAAGTGTTTTGGGGAGGGTTGTTTTAGGGGTGTTTGGGGGTTTATAGTTGTTTTAAGGGGTGTTTGGGAGTGTTGTTTTAAGGGGTGTTTGGGGAGTGTTGTTTAAGGTGTTTGGGAGTGTTGTTTTAAGGGGTGTTTGGGGGTGTTTTAAGGGTGTTTGGGGGTTGTTTTAAGGGGTGTTTGGGGTGTTTGTTTTAAGGGGTGTTTGGGGAGTGTTGTTTTAAGGGGTGTTTGGGGGTTGTTTTAAGGGGTGTTTGGAGGGTTGTTTTGTGTGTTTGAGGGGTTTATATTGTTTTAAGGGGTTTGGGGAGTTGTTTTAAGGGGTGTTTGGGGAGGGTTGTTTTAAGGGGGTGTTAGGTTTATAGTTGTTTTAAGGGGTGTTTGGGGGTTGTTTAAGGGGTGTTTGGGGAGGGTTGTTTTAAGGGTGTTTGGGGTTTATAGTTGTTTTAAGGGGGTGTTTGGGGAGTGTTGTTTAAGGGGGTGTTTGGGGGTTGTTTTAAGGGGTGTTTGGGGAGGGTTGTTAAAGGGGTGTTTGGGGAGTGTTGTTTAAGGGGTGTTTGGGGAGGTTGTTTTAAGGGGTGTTTGGGGTGTTTTAGACAGGCAGACAGACAGATAGATGGATAGATAGATAGATAGATAGATAGATAGATAGATAGATAGAAAGATAGATAGATAGATAGATAGCCGCCGGAGGGAACGTTGTGATAGGGTCGTTATGAGAGAGAGGGGGGGGGTGATTAAGACGGTAGTTACGTGGTCAGCATGCGGGTGAGACCCCTAATTGCTTGCAGGGTTGTTATGGGTGAGAGACGAGATAAGGAGGGAAGGTGACAGGTGTATTTCAGTCTCAGGGAGGAAAGTGAGGTGATCTCTCTCTGAGTCTCTCGGTAAAGAAGATAGGGAAGTGATTTATCGTAGAGCAAGTACCTCCGTCTAGGGCAAGTACCTCAGTCTAGAGCAAGTACCTCAGTCTAGGGCAAGTACCACCTCTAGGCAAGTACCTCACTCTAGGCAGCACCTGTCTAGGGCAAGTACCTCAGTCTAGGGCAAGTACCTCAGTATAGGGCAAGTACCTCAGTCTAGGGCAAGTATCTCACTCTAGGGCAAGTACCTCAGTCTAGGGCAAGTGCCTCAGTCTAGGGCAAGTACCTCAGTCTAGGGCAGTACCTCAGTCTAGGGCAAGTACACTCAGTCCAGCACCTCAGTCTAGGGCAACCCAGTCTGTGGCAGGTACGCTCACCTCAGTCTAGGGCAGGCACCACTCTAGGGCACCAGTCTAGGGCAGGTACCTCAGTCTAGGGCAAGTACCTCAGTCTAGGGCAAGTACCTCAGTCTAGGGCAAGCACCCTCAGTCTAGGGCAAGTACCTGCCCAGGGGCAAGCACCTCACTCTAGGGCAAGTACCTCACTCTAGGGCAAGTACCCCAGGCCATGGCAAGTACCTCACTCTAGGAAGCAAGTGCCTCAGTCTAGGCAAGTACCACTCTAGGAAAGTACTTCACTCTAGAGCAAGTACCTCACTCTAGGGCAAGTACCTCACTCTAGGGCAAGTACCCCACTCTAGGCACCTCACTCTAGGGCAAGTACCTCACTCTAGGGCAAGTGCCTCACTCTGGGGCAAGTACCTCACTCTTTAGGCAAGTACCTCACTCTAGGGCAAGTGCCTCACTCTAGGGAAAGTACCTCACTTTTAGGGCAAGTACCTCACTCTAGGCAAGTACTCTAGGAAAGTACCCACTCTAGGGAAAGTACCTCACTCTAGGGAAAGTACCTCACTCTAGGGAAAGTACCTCACTCTAGGGCAAGTACCTCACTCTAGGGCAAGTACCTCACTCTAGGGAAAGTACCTCACTCTAGGGAAAGTACCTCACTCTAGGGAAAGTACCTCAGTCTAGGGAAAGTACCCCATGTAATATTTTCTACTACGTCAACCATCTCGTCTACTGTCTCCCTTGTTAAGGAAAGTGACACCTAATTCACCTCTAGTTTTATTAAACAAAATTACTTTTATTTTGTTAAAGACAAAACAAAAGTTAATAACAGTTACCAGCGATGACTCTATAACCTGCCGAGCTGTTATTGTTATTGTTATTATTGTTATTATTATTATTATTTTTGTTATTGTTATTATTATTATTATTATTATTATTATTATTATTATTATTATTATTATTATTTTTTTATTATTATTATTATTATTATTATTATTTTTATTGTTATTGTTATTGTTATTATTATATTATTATTATTATTATTATTGTTATTGTTATTGTTGTTATTATTATTATTATTATTATTATTATTGTTATTGTTATTGTTTTATTATTATTATTATTATTATTATTATTATTGTTATTGTTATTGTTATTAATTATTATTTATTATTATTATTATTATTATTATTATTATTATTATTATTATTATTATTATTATTATTATATATATATATATATATATATTGTTATTATTATTATTATTATTATTATTATATATTATTATTATTATTATTATTATTATTATTATTATTATTATTATTATTATTATTATTATATTATTATTATTATTATTATTATTATTATATTATTATTATTGTTGTTGTTGTTGTTGTTGTTTGGGAACACTTGAATGATACTCGTGGAACACTTATGATAAAACACCGTATATAACTGCCCATAATACAGTCACAATGCAATAGGGACGCCATGTGGGTGTTGGTAGGTTATGAGGGAGAGAGAGAGAGGGGGAGAGGAGAGAGAGAGAGAGACGTCCTTGTATTGAATGAAGAAGAATTATTGTGCGTGTCCTTCAGAATCCTTTGCCAAGTTTAGAAAAGGATATGGTTACGGGGGTAGGGGTAGGGGATAGGAAGGGGGTGAGGGAGGAGAGGCAGGATTGGAGGCGGAGGGAGGAGAGGGAGAAGGAGAAGGAGAGGAGTCAGATATAAGACTCGGTCGACTGAACACACCTAAAGAGATCCTATATATATAGTATAATATAATAGTCTAATATATAATCCTCTTGTTTACGTTTTCCTCGTATATAAAAACAAACGAAAATATATAGGAACCTAATATCTTATTTTTATTCACATTCTTATCTTTTATTTTTGTTGTCATTGTCCACTATAGGTACTTGAATTTGCCGCCTGACGTCACTGATAAATGAACCAATCATCCCCCAACGGTCTTATTAAAGAAATCTGACGTCACTGATAGCGCGCCAACCACGGTCTTATTAAAGAAATCTGACGTCACTGATAGCGCCAACCAATCATAGATGACGATCATGCACACACCTACATTTTCTGACATCACTCACAATGAACCAATCACCGCTCATGTTTATGCAAGTAGACACTCTGACGTCATTTGTGATTAACCTATCAGAACCCTTGCATCGCTTGTTGACAATAAATCTCATTTTGTACATGCATTTTTTTTATTCCATGTGAGCCAATTACAGGAATTAATTGGTTGATATTTTCTGTAATATTTCAACACAAAGAGATGACCCTAAAGTTAACATACAGACAGAACAAAAGACGGAAGACCAGGTACAGTAGACAGATGAGTAAACAGACGGGAAGACGAGTAAAAACATGGACAGACAGATAAGTATTTTCATAAGTACACTACATGATGATGATGATGACATTAATGGTATTATTATTATTATTATTATTATTATTATTATTATTATTATTATTATTATTATTATTATTTGTTATTATTATTATTGTTGTTGTTGTTGTTGTTGTTGTTCTCATCACCCCCACAGGCTGACGCTGGTTCTCTCCTGTGCCATGAACTCCAGGTGTACCCGCACGACACCCGGAGTGCCACATGAAGATCGAGGCTGTGAGTATCCCCAGTGCCACATGTATATCGCAGTGCCACGTGTATATCACAGTGCCACATGTATATCACAGTGCCACATGTATATCACAGTGCCACATGTATATCACAGTGCCTCACATACACACTATATATGTGTGTGTGTGTGTGTGTGTTTATGGTGCCAGACCGTGATTATTACAGGTACAATGGCGCCATTCGATAGTAATTCACCTGTTGCACCGCGTGTGTCCCTCAACCTGGTACACATGTTCTGGTCCCCAGGTGTATTACAAGGGTGCCACATGCTCATCAGGTGCCAGGTAACCACCACACATCCACCACCACATCCACCACACACCCACCACATGCACCCACCACCACACAACCACCACCACATAACCACCCACAGACCACCACCACACGACCACCACCACATACAACCACCACCACACACAACCACCACCACACAACCACCACCACACAACCACCACCACACAACCACCACATACACCCACCACCACATACAACCACCACCACACAACCACCACCACACAACCACCACCACACAACCACCACCACACAACCACCACCACACAACCACCACCACACAACCACCCCCACACACAACCACCACCACACAACCACCACATACACCGACCACCACACAACCACCACATACACCCACCACCACACAACCACACATACACCCACCACCACACAACCACCACCACACAACCACCACATACACCGACCACCACACACCACCACCACCACACAACCACCACCACACAACCACCTACACACACAACCACCACATACACCCACCACCACATACAACCACCACCACACAACCACCACCACACAACCACCACCACACAACCACCACCACACAACCACCACCACACAACCACCACCACACAACCACCCCACACAACCACCACCACACAACCACCACATACACCGACCACCACACAACCACCACATACACCCACCACCACCACACAACCACCACCTCACACAAACCACCACCACACAAACCACCACCACACAACCACCACATACAACCACCACCACACAACCACCCACACACACAACCACCACCCACACAAACCACCACCACATACACCCACCACCACAACCACCACCACCACACAACCACCACCACACAACCACCACCACACAACCACCACCACAACCACATACACCCACCACCACATACACCCACACCACCACACAACCACCCCAACCACCACATACACCCACCGCCACACAACCACCACCACACAACCACCACCACACAACCACCACCACACCCAACGCCATACAGCCACCACCACAACCACCACCACACAGCCACCACCACACAACCACCACCACACAACCTACCACACAACCACCACATACACCCACCGCCACACAACCACCACCACACACAGCCACCACCACACAACCACCACCACACACCCACGCCATACAACCACCACACAGCCACCCACACAACCACCACCCACAACCACCACCACACACAACCACCACCACACAACCACCACCACACAACCACCACCACACAACCACCACAACCACCACACAACCACCACCCACACAACCACCCACACCACACACAACCACCACACACAACCACCACACACACCCAACGCCATACTCCACCACACAACCACCACCACACAACCACCACACACGCCACCACCACCACCAACCACCACCACAACCACCACCCAACCACCCACACAGCCCCACCACACCGACCACCACACAGCCACCACCACACCACCACCACAAGCCACCATCACACACCACCACACACCGACCACCACACAGCCACCACCACACAACCACCACCACAACCACCACAACACAACCACCACCACATACACCCACCACACACAACCACCCACACAACCACCACAACACAACCACCACACACACCCACCACCACACAGCCACCACCACGCAACCACCACCTACACCCCACAACCACATACATTCACCACCACACAACCACCACCACACCCACCCCACATAGTGTTTGAGGCAGCCACCCTTATGTCAGAGGCCAAGGTGAGGGGGAAGCCTGTTACCCATCGTCTTAACACACGGTATTTATAATACAGGGGAGGAGGGAGGGTGTCTGGCTGTGCAAGAAGCAAAGTAAGGGGAAGGTTGTTAGTTACACCTCACGTTTACCTGTAATTAGACACCACAACTCTGTTTCCCTCCTTTCCCCTCCTCCTATTCCTTCTCTCCTCCTCCTCCTCCTCTCCTCCTCCTCCTCCTCCTCCTCTCCTCCTCCTCCTCCTCCTCTCCTCCTCCTCCTCCCTCCTCCTCTCTCTCTCTCTCTCTCTCTCTCTCTCTCTCTCTCTCTCTTTCTCTCTCTCTCTCTCTCTCTCTCTCTCTCTCTCTCTCTCTCTCTCTCTCTCTCTCTCTCCTTCCTTCCTATTCATTTTACTTCTACATTTTACCTGCGTCTGTTTTTCAGTTATATTAATTATCCGTTTCCTTATGATTCTCTTATTTTTTATTATTCTTGTCTTCTATTCTCCCCTTGTCCTCGAGACCACCAGAGATCCTGAAGGAGATAAATACCTCCATCCCAGAGACCACGAGACATGGTACTAGCAGATCTTAGCAACCTCTCCCTTTCTCCCTGTTTCCTCTCCTCCTCTCCTCCCCTCTCCACGAGACATAATTCCTTCATCTCGTCGAGGCCAGTTGAGAAAACTTGTTGTGTTGAACTCATAATTAGATGCAGAGACTGGCTGCTTGAACAAACAAAGGCTTGAATAATGGGGGTGGGGGGCTTATAATGAAACCTCATTAAACAGGCCATCGAGACCTAACCTAACCTAACTTCTAACCTCATCTAACTAACCTAACCTAACCTAACCTAACCTAACACAACCTCATCCTAACTTCTTCTTCCTCATCTAACCTAACTTCTTAGCCTTGCCTTGCCTAACAATGTCTCGAGAGAGAGTACAGTGCCACAAGACGAACAACGGTGCCTACGAGACGTGACAGTACCACGGACGAAACAGTGCCAGAGACACAAAACAGTGCTACAGACGGAGAGATCCAGTGCCACAGACGTAAACCGTGCCACAGGGGTTCAAAACTCCTGGTGACCGTCTCAAACTCTGGCAGCATCCTAATCACCTGGGGTAATTAGAGCAGTTAATAAAGCAACAACAATTAAGAGCCACTCTTGTCTCAAATGGGTTTTTTTTTTGTCGCTATGAACCAAAGTTGGTTATTATGCTCTGTCAAATGTAGTGTATTAATAAACTTTCTCGCCTACACACACACACACACACACACACACACACACACACACACACACACACACACACACACACACACACACACACACATCACACACTGATACACACACACACACATTTTATAAAAGTATCTTGGCATTTCTCTGTGCTTTAGAGTGTGAAATGTCAGGACGGACCTCTCTCTCTCTCTCTCTCTCTCTCTCTTTTAACTTTTATCCGTTTCCTTAATTCCTTCTTGTCTTCCTCCTCCTTTGTTCCGATCATTGCTCCTTAATTGTTCTCCTTCCTTCTTCCCTCTTCCTTCTTCCCTCTTCCTTCTTCCCTCTTCCTCTTCCTTCTTCCTCTTCCCTCTTCCTTCTTCTCCTTCTTTCTTCTCTATCTAATTATTCCAACCAATTACTCGTTCGTTAGCCAGAGGTGATCGTTTAGCCTCCCATCACACCTGACAACGCACACACCTGACAACGCACACACCTGACAACGCACACACCCTGACAGCGCACATACCTGACAGCGCACACACCTGACAGGCATACCTGACGGCGCACATACCTGACAACACACACACCTGACACACACACACCTGACAACGCACACACCTGACAACGCACATACCTGACAACGCACACACCTGACAACGCACACACAGCGACAACGCACACACCTGACAACGCACACACCTGACATCGCACACACTGGCAACGCACATACTGACAAGCACACACACACGGCAACGCACACACCTGACAACGCGCACACATGACACACACACCTGACAGCGCACACATGACAGCGCACATACCTGACAACACACACACCTGACAACACACACACCTGACAACACACACACCTGACAGCGCATACCTGACAGCGCACACACCTGACAACGCATGCCTGACGCGCACATACCTGACAGCGCACATACCTGACAACGCACATACCTGAGCACAACGCACATACCTGACAACGCACACACCTGACAGCACACACCTGACAAGCACGCACACCTGACAACGCACATACCTGACAAGCGCACATACCTGACAACACACACACCTGACGCTTGCACATACCTGACAAACGCACATACTGACCCGCAGCCTGACAACACCATACCTGACCGCGCACACCTGACCAGCACACACCTGACGCGCACACACCTGACAACACACACACACCTGACCTTACACCTTGCAACAGCTCAATACAGATGTTACTCCTCACACTGCCCCCTCCTCTCCTCCCCCCCCCTCTACCCTCCTCCCCTCTCCCCTTCCTGCCCCTCACCCTTCTCCACCCTCCCCCCCTCAGCTACCCTCTCCCCTTCCACCCCTCTCACCCCTTCCTCCCTCCTCCCCTTCACCACCTCCCTCCTCCTCCTCCCCTCCCCTCCCCTCCCTCCCCTCTCCCCCCCCTCCCCTCTCCCTCCCCCCCTCCCCTGGCCTCATCTCCGGCGTAAATTCAATTCCACAAAAATTACTGAAAGACATTACAGTGCCATTAAACGCTCACACATATTAATAATAAGACCTGAGTCAAAAGCGATCGTTCAGTGCAGAGATGAAGTACTGTAATGAGGCAATAGTACAGGTAACAGGTAACAGGTAACAGGTAGATATTCAGGTACAGGTAAATTAAAGGTAGAGATACAATTACAGGTTGTAGGTTCAGATGGAAATTCGAGTACAGGTGTAATTACAGGTACAGATAATAGGTACAGGT